TTTTTCTTTAGCCATGAGCTTGTCAAGAGGTTTTCTCAGAAACTACTGGGCAGATCATCATGAAACTACACACATATACTCATTAGGGGGTCTAGGTGTGCAACATGCTATTTTTATCTCGGGCGGAAGTCCAAGATGGCCGCCATGAATTTTTGAAATTTTTTGGGAATTTAAAATTTCTAAAGGTGGTCGCCAAAGATAGCCTATGCCACCTATCCTATTTTACATGTTTTAAAGATTTTTTCCAATGCATTCCAAATGTGGCATGTAGGTGTATGATGGTACCGCGAACTCAACTATGACATCCGTTTTCTAATTAAACAAAATGGCTGCCATATACTGGTTACTGATTGGCCGAAGCTCCGTTGTAGTTCGATTTCATTCAAATTTAGTATGTATATGTAATATGGCATTGCAAACTCAACTGCGACATTTGTTTTCTCATTTGACAAAATGGCCACAATATACTGGGTTCTGATTGGTCGAAATTAAGATATTGTTCGATTTCACTCACATTTAGTATGAAAGTGTTTTATGCAATTGTGAACCTTTTCTGATGTATCGTTGCGACTATGGGGACAGTTCAGTTTGGGGGACTTCTGTAATGGCCCCCCATTACAATTAGTACTAGTTATTATTATTATCATTAAGTCCCCCAAAACAAAGTTTTGGGGACTTATTGTTTTTTCTCCGTTTCTTCTTCTTATTATTATTATTATTATTCTGTGTTCTTCTTCTTCTTATTCATCTTCAGCCATGAACTTGTCCGGAGGTTTTCTCAGAAACTACTGGCCGGATCATTATGAAACTACACACATATACTCATTAGGGTGTCTAGGTGTGCAACAAGCTATTTTTATCTCGACCGGAAGTCCAAGATGGCCGCCATGAATTTTTGAAATTTTGGGAATTTAAAATTTCTTTAGGTGTTCGCTAAGGTTAGCCAATGTCACCTATCCTATTTTACATGTTTTACATATATTTTCCAATGCATTCCAAATTTGGCATGTAGGTGTATGATGGTACCGCAAACACAACTATGACATCCGTTTTCTAATTAAACAAACTGGATGCCATATACTGGTTTCTGATTGGTCGAAGCTCCGTTGTAGTTCGATTTAGTTTAAATTTAGTATGTATGTTTAATATGGCATTGCAAACTCAACTGCGACATTTGTTTTCTAATTTGACAAAATGGCCACCATATACTGGGTTCAGATTGGTCCAAATATAGATGTTGTCTGATTGTCCCCGGAATCGGTACATAAGGGTTTTGAGTGATGCCGAACACAATGGTAACAGTTTCGAAAAGCTCAGTTACCATGATAACGAAATGGAGGCCTCTGATTTGTCAAAATTTAGAAGTTGTCTGATTCTGTCCAAAATAAGTACATAAGGGTTTTTAGCAATGCCAAACACAATGGTAACAGTGTCGAACAACTCAGTTGTCATGGTAACGAAATTTGCCCTCTGATTGGTCGAAATTTAAATGTTGTCTGATTCTGCCCAGAATTGGTGCATAGGGGTTTTAAGGGATGCAAAACACAATGGTAACAGTTTCGAACAGCTCAGTTGCCATGGTAACAAAATGGAGTCCTCTTATTGGTCGCAATTTAGCTGTTGTCTGATTTTGCCTAAGTCCAACAGGGGTCGTTGGGGGACTTCTGTAACGGCCATCCGTTACAATTAGTACTAGTTATTCTGTGTTCTTCTTCTTCTTATTCTTCAGCCACGAACTTGTCCGGAGGTTTTGTCAGAAACTACTGGGCGGATAATCATGAAACTACACACATATACTCATTAGGGGGTCTAGGTGTGCAACAAGCTATTTTTATCTCGACCGGAAGTCCAAGATGGCCGCTATGAATTTTTGAATTTTTTGGGAATTTAAAATTTCTAAAGGTGTCCGCTAAGGTTAGCCAATGTCACCTATCCTATTTAACATGTTTTACATATTTTCCAATGCATTCCAAATTTGGCATGTAGGTGTATGATGGTACCGCAAACACAACTATGACATCCGTTTTCTAATGAAACAAAATGGATGCCATATGCTGGTTTCTGATTGGTCGAAGCTCCGTAGTAGTTCGATTTAGTTTAAATTTAGTATGTATGTGTAATATGGCATTGCAAACTCAACTGCGACATTTGTTTTCTAATTTGACAAAATGGCCACCATATACTGTGTTCTGATTGGTCCAAATATAGATGTTGTCTGATTGTCCCCGGAATCGGTAAATAAGGGTTTTGAGTGATGCCGAACACAATGGTAACAGTTTCGAAAAGCTCTGTTACCATGATAACGAAATGGAGGCCTCTGATTGGTCGAAGTTAAGAAGTTGTCCAATTCTGTCCAAAATAAGTACATAAGGGATTTTAGCGATGCCAAACACAATGGTAACAGTGTCGAACAACTCAGATGCCATGGTAACGAAATTTGGCACTCTGGTTGGTCGAAATTTAAATATTGTCTGATTCTGCCAAGAATTGGTGCATAGGGGTTTTAAGGGATGCAAAACACAATGGTAACAGTTTCGAACAGCTCAGTTGCCATGGTAACAGAATGGAGTCATCTCATTGGTCGCAATTTAGCTGTTGTCTGTTTTTGCCTAAGTCCCTAAGTCCAACAGGGGTCGTTGGGGGACTTCTGTAACGGCCATCCGTTACAATTATTACTAGTTATTATTATTATTCTTCTGTGTTCTTCTTCTTCTTCTTCTTCTTCTTCTTCTTCAGCAATGAACTTGTCAAGAGGTTTTCTCAGAAACTACTGGGCAGATCATCATGAAACTACACACATATACTCATTAGGGGGTCTAGGTGTGCAACAGGCTATTTTTATCTCGACCAGAAGTCCAAGATGGCCCCCATGGTTTTTTGAATTTTTTGGGAATTTGAAATTTCTAAAGGTGTTGGCTAAGGATAGTTAATGGCACCTATCCTATTTTACATGTTTTATAGATATTTTCTAATGCATACCAAATGTGGCATGTAGGTGTATGATGGTACCGCAAACTCAACTATGACATCCGTTTTCTAATCAGACAAAATGGCTGCCATATATTGGTTACTGATTGGTCGAAGCTCCGCTGTAATTCAATTTTGTTTAAATTTAGTATGTATATGTTATATGGCATAGCAAACTCAACTGCAACATTTGTTTTTCTAATTTGACAAAATGGCCACCATATACTGGGTTCTGATTGGTCGAAATTTAGATTCCGTCTGATTCTGCCCAGATTTGGTACATAGGGGTTTTGAGGGATGCAGAAAACAATGGTAACAGTTTCGAAAATGTCAGTTGCCACGGTAATGAAATTGAGGCCTCTTATTGGTCGAAATTTAGATGTTGTCTGATTCTGCCTAAGTCCTTAATCCAACAGGGGTCGTTTGGGGGACCTTTGTAAAGGCCACCCGTTGCAATTATTACTAGTTATAATTATCATTATTCCATCGTCAAAAGTTTCCACGCTTAATCTCAGAAACTTCTAATTGGATTCTTATCAAACTTTGCGTATATAGTCAGATGTACATCTGACTCTTATTTTTCCGCGTCAACCATCCAAGATGGCCACCGCTGCTCTGATTGGCCGAAATCATATCCAGTAATAACATTTGTTCTATTCGACAGAACATAATGAAACTTAATGAAAGGGATGAGAACGTCATACCGATCGTTTTCGACAAAATATATTTCACTTTGGATTCAAATGACGGCCAAATGCAGGCTTCTGATTGGTCGAAATTGGCACTACGAAAAAACTGCGGTGTTTGTTTTGTGAACTATCATTTCCTGGCCTCTGATTGGTCAAAATTTCAATATTGTCTGATCTTCATGAAATTTAGTATGTATGTATATTATCGGACACTGGTCACTTTCATAGCCTGAGTTTCACATTTCGACAAAATGACTGCCATTTTCTGGCCTCTGATTGGTCGAAATTTAAATATCATCCAATTGTGATGAAATTTGGTAAGTAGGTGAAATATGGCACTTAAAGAACACAACTTTGGTACTCATTTTGTGAAAAAACAAAATGGCTGTGTACTCAGCGGGGGAGGGGTGACTTCCGCTATTTCTCGCAATTGCAATTCTAGTTCTTGTTCTTATTTCTTCCACTTTCTTCCGCCGACCAGGTTTCCAACATTTTTCTCGAAAATGGTTGGGCGGAATTCAACGAAACTTTACATGAGTATTTTTGTTTTTCGATCAGTCAACTGGTCAGCCGGACGGCGGCCTCTAATTGGTGGAAATTTTGATATTGTTTGATTTTGATGAAAATTTGTATATAAGAGTATTTGGGGACTGCGAATTCAACTGCATAAGTGTCGTTACCATAGCAACCACACTGGTGCCTCTGATTGGTTGCAACCTAGTTATTGTTCGATTTTGATCAAAATTGGTTTATAGGGGTATTAGGGGACTGCAAATTCAATCGCATACATTTTGTTGCCAAAGCAACCAAACAGAGGATTCTGACTGGTTGCAATTTAGAAATTGCTCAATTTCACTAAAATTTTGTATAAACATTGTAGGTGTACTATGGCAATGCGATCCTTTTCTGATGCATGTTTGCGACTATGGGGGCAGTTTGGGGGACATTTGTAATGGTCCCCCATCACAATTAGTACTTGTTCAAATTGCCCTAAGTCCATGGTCGGTCGTTGCGTCATCTGTCGTCCTTCTTTAATCAATTCTTGTTATCGCTATTTCTCGGAAAGCACCAGAGGGATCTTTCTCAAATTTTATATGTAGGTTCCCCTTGGTCCCTATATGCATGTTACTTTTGAGACTGGTGATCAGATAAACAAAATGGCTGACAGGCAGCCATCTTTGATTTTGACAGTGATGGTTTGTTATTGCTTTTTCTCAATAAGTACTGGAGATATCTCAAATTTGACATGTAGGTTCCCCTTGAGACTGATCAGATACACAAAATGGCTACATGTACCTATACTATCCTAATGACATATTACTAAATTAAATGTTTTGTTGACAGAGAGCTGTTAAGCAGTTTGATGAGGTGGAAGATGACACCAATATAACAAGCAGTGCTCAGAAATTTAGAGATGGACACCTTGGAGTATTGACCACTGATTTTGATGCTAATGCTGAGAAATTGACCACTGTGCGAGCATCATACAAAAGACCAGAGCCATGTGGAGTGAGACTTACTGGTAATAAAAATCTTGTTGTCCTTATTTGAATTGGGATATTTACTCTTTGATCCAGTCTTGTAATAGATATGTGTATTTTTTTTTCTGCCGTTCACTTAAACTCACTTTAATGGTAACAGCTATTTTGTGATTGCTACATGGTGATGGTAACAGCTATTTTGTGATTGCTAAATGATAATCGTAACCATTACCATGTAGTAATCACCATATAGCTGTACTCTGATGACAGCCTTCCAAGCAGGCAGAAACTAGTCACCATAAGAGGGCCACTAGATATCCTCCTTTAAACCTAAAAGTATAATATATTATATATAGAAAAAATAAGATTAACGACCGACTAAAAAACTAGCTGCTTTCACCCTTCACAGGGCTCTTCAGGTTTATTCAAAAGAACAACGTTGTGACGTCACAATTACATGTCATCACACTACAATAGTAATGTGACGTCACGAAGTACACAAGATTGGTGGACAATTTAGCATAAAATTTTACTGTGGCCTGTTGAGACTTGGTTTTAATATTTTGATTAGTTATATTATATATTATATAAATAGAGTCACTTACAATATGATACCTAGTCTTGGTTGAAATATTTGATGAAAAAATCAGTCAGTTTTTCCGGTGAATATTTTGAAATCAAAGAACAAAATCATGATCATCATGTCAAAAATCAAGGTAAAAGATCTGTAAATAGAATATTTTTTAACGTTTTTCGAACGACCATAACTTCAAAACCATTTGTTGCATTGTGTGCATGCTTAATACTTCATGTAGGACTTGTTTGGGGCTAAGTTTTTCCCATGACATGTTATCAGAGAATATGTCAAGTTTAAGGCCTAGCTATGGGGTCAAATATAGGTCAAACATGAAAATCTCAAAAATAGTTGATTTTGCATCAAATCTTAAAGAACATGTACCAAAGAAAGTATTTGCAAAGTTTGAAGTGCAAAGCATACAAAATGACAACGAAATGCCACTTTGAAAAATGTTAATTTTCCCGCCAAAATTCAAAATCTAAAGAAAATTGCACTAAAAACTTTTCTGCTCCATAATCTAGAGATTTAAGATTCAAGATTCAAGGTCACAGCATCATGGTGCATGTAAATAAACATGTCAAACCTACAAAATATCACTTAAAAGGACATGTTATTGTTATTAGAATGGTAAATGTACTTTCTACAACTGTACAAGGGGTAATATCTGAAACAGAACACTCAACCTTTGTGACCAGTTCGTCTAAAATACACAGAGTCACTGATCGTCCTTGGCTTTGGTGTTGCTGGGTCCACTTAACAGAACTGTCAATCACCATTGCCGCAAGACCATCACTGTGTGTACTAAGGTTTGGTGTCGCTGGGTCCAAATAACAGAGCTGTCATTCACCACAACATCAAGTACATAGGATCCCCACAACGAGAGGCAGAAAGGGGAGGAAATTCGAAGAAGGGATCAAATGATTTCAAAGATAGAAACACTAAACAGCTTTCTATCAATGGTGACCATTCAGAAATATGTAATAGAGGAAAATCAGCAGATGATATGCAAATAAGGTCATGATCAGGCCATTTCTACTGTACTCTGCTACAATAGCATCAAAAATGAGGAAGATATGCCACTTTGAAAAATGTTGATTTTCCCGCCAAAATTCAAATTTTCAAAAAAAATATACTTAAAACATTTCATCTCCGAAACAAAGACACATAGCGATTTTATATTTGGCACATTTATTGAATGTATGCTTAGGTACAAAAGGTGTGAAAATCATTGACCTTGACATTTTATTCAAGGTAACAGGGGTCAAATGATCCAAAAATTAAAATTTTAAAATTCTTTAAAAAAGTCATTTTAAAACAACCTTGTTAAGAGTACATCATTATTAGGATATTTCTTAAGTCTCCAGGTCATAGCATCATGGTGCATGTCAATTAACATCTTAAACCTACATAAAACGCTTAAAAGATGAAAGAAGGGTCATTATACCCCCTGCAACGAAGTTAGGGGGGTTATACTGGAAACAGGTTGTCCGTCCATCTGTCCGACTGTCTGTGGACACAATGTAGTACTGTGTACTCCTCATAAACTACTGGATGGATTTCAATGAAATTTGCTGCTTAGAGATGTGCGAAAGTACTTTCATTGGGTTATCTCCCCTTTTAACGAAGTTATGGCACTTGGTTCATAAACCTTCTCTAGAACATGACATTGTATAGAATGTTTTTTAGAAGGACCATGGTGAGCTTATGCCAAATCGCAGCGTCCGTCGTCTGTTTGTCAACTTTTCCTTTAAAACGCTACTAGTCCTGAACGACCAAGTAGATTTTAACTAAATTTGGTCTGGAGCTTTTTTTTGCCAAGGGCACTCAATTTTGGATAAATGGTGGGTGTAGAGGAAATAGAGGTAAAACCATTTGTGTGCAAAGGGGCAGGGCTCAAAAGGGAAAGTTGAGGTTTAAATCTTTAAAATCCTTCTTTCTCATTACCATCAGAGGGATTTCATCCAAAGTTGGCCAGGAACATTCTTGGGCAAAGGGGACTTAATTTTGTATAATTGGAAGGTTTGGCCCTTTTGGGTGCAGAGTTGCGGGACCCAATAGGGGAATTTGAGGTTTTATTCTTTAAAATCCTTCTTCTGTACCATTGGAGGGATTATTTGTAAAAAAGAATAATTTCCCATGGTTGCTTTATCATCAAGGTGTGCAATACAGGCCCCTTGGGCCTCTTGTTTATTCAATTCCTTCCAAATTTAGTATGGTAATACTAGAAGCAATAATGTTTAACATATATAACAGTTTTTTTTGTCAGGTTTCAACTTTCAGTGGGGTCAGAGGTCAAAGGTTACAAATAAATTACGTTACTGAAATGGCTAAATATCTTGGAAACAAAAGGTATTTTGTATACCAATATATATTAAAATATTGTAGGCTTTAATGCAATCTACTTTACTGACAGCTTCTGAGGTCGTGGGGTCAGAGGTGAAAGGTTACGAATGAATTACATTACGGAAATGGCTAATTATCTCGGAAACAGTAGGTATTTTGTATTCACATATACATTGGAATATTGTAAGGATTAATGAAAGCTACTCTACTGACAAATTTCCTAGGTCAAAGGTCAAAGGTCATGAATGAATTACGTTACTGAAATGGCTAATTATACACATATGCAGGCAAATTGTGACAAACTGCCAACGTCATGAGGTCAAAGGTCGCAGATGCATTATGTTACTGAAATGGCTAATTATGGAAGAAATGGTAGGTATTTTGTATACACATACCTTGGTTTAAATGTAGCATTGATGCAAGCTACATTGTAACAAAGTTTCGAGGTCATTGAGTCAAAGGACACAGTACCCGTAGTGGTGTTTGTCTTTTCCAATGGTCTGTCGATATGACATCTGAGGTTAGACTTTTTCATGACCCTTGACTTTTTCCCTTGTTTATTTAACCCCTACAGAAGCAACAAGCAGCTGGAATGTGGGGGGTATTAATTGACCCATGGGCGACAGTTCTAGTTATACTTTCTACAATCTGTACAAAGGGGAATAACTCTTACAGCTCAACCTATGACTCAACCTATGTGACCAGTTTGTCTACTATACACAGAGTCACTGTGCTAGTTAGCCCACCTGGTCCGAAGGACCAAGGTGAGCTTATGCCATACCGTGGTGTCCATCATCCGTCTGTCCATGCATCGTCTGTACGTCAACAATTGCTTTAAACGACTTCTTCTTCTTAACCACTGATTGGAATTTAACTTAATTTGACTGGAAGCATCCCTAGGTGGTGGGGATTCAAAAGTGTACAAATGGTGGGGCTGACCCCCCAGGGGGCTGAGGGGCGGGGCCAAAAGGGGTCAATTTGGTTATATTGCTTTAAGCGACTTCTTCTCTGGAACTAAGAGATGGATATCAACCATATTGGACTGGAAGCATCCCTAGGTGGTGGGGATTAAAAATTGTACAAATGGTGGGGCTGACCCCCATGGGTGCTGAGGGGCGGGGCCAAAAGGGGGCAATTTGGCTATATTGCTACAAACAACTTCTTTTGTAGAACTATGCCATGGATATCAATCATATTTGATCGGAAGCATTCATTGGAGGCAGGGATTCAAAATTGTACAAATGGTGGGGCTGACCCCCCCGGGCTAAGAAGCGGGCTCAAAAAAATTGTATTACTTGAAATGTTGAGATCCCCACCGTATAACCATATATACAATTGCTGAGTATTAAGAGATGAATGCACATATGCCTTTAGGATGGCCTTGGGGTCTGCCCCACCCTTGGAGACTTAATCCCCGGGTCATAACTTCGAAATGGTTTAGATCCCCACCCAAAAACTTTATATACAATTGTTGGGCATAAAGAGACGAATGCAGTCATGATATTAGAATTGACCCCAGGGTCTGCCCCACCCTTGCAGACTTAACCCCTGGGTCATAACTTAGAAACGGTTGAGATCCCCACCCCAAAACTATAAATACAAATGATGGGCAAAAAGAGACGAATGCAGTCATGATATTAAAATTGATCCTGGGGTCTGGTCACAACCCTAGGGACCTAGCTTCTGAGTCACAGCTTGGAAACAGTTGAGATCCCCATCCCATAACCATACATAAACTTGCTGGGCATGAAAAATCTAATACAGATATGCTACATCATTCCTTTGGATCTCATTTGGAGAATATTTAGCCATAATTGCTTAGATATCCAGGTGAGTGATACAGGCCCTCTGGGCCTCTTGTTGGATTAGGTGTTGCTGGGTCCAAATAACAGAGCTATCAATCATCTTACCTGAAGACCATCATTGTGTGTACTGGGGTTCAGTGTCTCTAGGTTCAAATAACAGCTGCAAATCACCATTGCCTCAAGACTATCACTGTGCGATTGGAGTTTGCAGGTGTCACAGGGTCGAAATAACAGATATGTCATTTACCGCTACCTCAAGTACATAGCATCCCCACTAAGGGGGAGCAGAGGGAAGAAAGAAACGTTCAACAACTTTTTATCACTTCTAACCATTCAGAAATTACTTTCCTTTTTGCCCCTGCATTATGAATTAAAAACAAGGTTGGTCAAAGAAGGGAAGTGAAGGGAAACGTTGAAAAGAGACCATCAGTTCGAGAAAATATCTCGGATAATTTTGTTGATGGAAATCCTGTGTTTTGATCTTGATCAAATCAAGTTGTGTATGAAGGTGTTTTTTTCAAATTTTGAATGTTACATGATTAATACTAAAAATAGAATCTTATATTCGTGTCCATGTCACTGAATTACAAACTTATTCAATAAATTCAAAAAGACATAGATACGAATGTAAGATCCTGTATTTAAATGATTGTTACAAGGACAGTGGTTCTTTTCAGAAAGCTATATTATTTTGACTGTCCCTTTAGGAGCGTGTGAAGGTAGTTGATTGAGGTTTTGTTTTACATTCTGTTCAGTAGTTTGTCTGCCTTTGCATTCGAATTGCTGATTTAGTAAACTTTCATGTTTTTTTTCTGTGTCTGATGAGTTGTATTAATCAGTATGTTCTTACTTTGTCAAAACATATTGAAAGCAATTAAATGTATTGTCATTTCCTGAGAATAATTGAAATTACCAAGCTGGACTAACTGATAAACAACCAAGATTCATTGTATTATAGCACTGGAAGTGAAAACCAATTGCATTTCCAAATATACACATGTAGATATGACATAACTACATATATTCATTTTTTTTCTTGAAGGGAAAAAAGAAGAACTTTTAAAGCAGATGCTTTTAGAAAAAGTCAGGTAATGTTCAAATACATCAACCAGCTTTCCAAACATACTTATATAATTAAGGATCCCCGTACCACTGCCAACAACTGTAACTAAATATTAGAAACTGTTTTATCCAGCTTGACTATAGCTTTGATAACTCATTTCTGAAAAGAAAACCATACCATGTGGGACTTTTATCAGGTTTGATAAAGATGAAATAAACAAATAGAATCAACAACAGTGTTCTGAGTGTAAATTAAAATAAAGTGGAGCTAAACTAGAATTCAAACCCTGGGCTTTAAATTGTTGTTCTATTGCTCTAACCAATTGAGCTACCTGGTCAACGGAAGTGTCCTGGCCCAAACTGTACTGCAGTTATATATAAACGGAATTTAAGTGGAGGTTACTGTATACAAGTAAAAACACAGTGCAGTGGGACAGGGATCCTTAAATGTACACTTGTTAGTTCACCAATGGACTAAGTGAGCTATTGCCATGATGCTGTGTCCATCGTCCATCTGTCTGTTTGTTAACTTTTTAGGTCCCCTGAGACAAAGTCTCAAGTGACCTATTGCGATCGCCTTTTGTCCGCCGTCGTCCGTCGTCTGTCGTCCGTCGTGCGTCCGTAAACAATTGACATTTTCGACTTCTTCTCCAAAACTCCTGAACCAATTTCAATGAAATTTTGCAGGGACCTTCCATGGACAAAGGTCAACAAAAATTGTTGCCGGTTTAGTCCTAACCCCCCAGGGGCCTGAGGGGCGGGGCCAAAAAGGGTCAAATTGACTAAAATTTCAAAAATCTTCTTCTCCGAAACCCCTGAACCAATTTCAATGAAACTTTGCAGGGGCCTTCCATGGACAAAGGTCAACAAAAAAAGAGGCCGGTTTAGTCCCAAGCCCCCAGGGGCCTGAGAGGCGGGGCCAAAAAGGGTCGAATTGACTAAAATTTCAAAAATCTTCTTCTCAAGACCCAGATATGGTAGAATCAAATACTCTTCATAGATGGAAGGGTCTTAAGGTGCTTTACCGAAATTGTGAATTTCTTGACCTTGGGGTCTCACATTTCCCCCTGGGGAGGGGGTAAACTTTACTATAGTTTATATAGGGAAATCACATTTTGGACCAACATTTGTTTAATTTCCATTGGAAGTAATTCAATTTGGGTTAGCATTATCAGTATTAGGTAGCAGTTTGATAGTATG